CAATATAAATACTGTAAATAAATAAATAAAAATAAGAAAATATATGGTTTCACTCTTTTCAATGCTGAGTTTTTCATCCTAAGATTCCTAAAATGTGATGGGATCTTACTTCTGTAGATCAGAAGGAATTCCCATAGATCTTTCATTCCCACATGAGTGTAGCACACACTTGTTACACCACTTTGTGTTTGTATTTTTAAAATCAGAAATCCAGCATCACTGTGTCTACAAACATATTCCGATATGAAAATTGCTTACCTTTTGAGACTTCACACATTTTTTCACAGCTGTCACGTGTTTGAAATTTATTTCCATTGCCCAGGCAGCCACCATAAACAAATGATTCACATTGTTTGCGATTATGGTTATAGTAATAACGGGTCAAACGGTTGGGGCAAGGTCCTTTGGCTGGAGGGAGGCTGCATACTGTTAGCAGGGCTTCAGGAGACAAAAATAGGTAAAAATCACAACAGAATCTATATAAATAAAAATGTCATGTCCGTTTGTGGGATTAACAAAACTCAAAAACCACTGGGCGAATTGACACCAAATTTGGACACAAGACACCTCTCAGGCCAACGAGTGACCATCTATATAAATGGAAGGGAAGGTTGCATATTGTTGGCAATGCTTTGAAGAAATATCATAACACTATCATCATCATCACTACTACAAGAATTATCACCATCATTTTTTTTCTCCAGTTTGGGACTCATGACAACAGACAATAGTTAAAAGAATCAGTTAATAATTAAAGTTAAGAAACAATTAAAACATCATAAAATTGAAACCAAATAAAACAAATGTTTAGGACATTATACAACACCTAAGTAAAGGTAAAGGTTTCCTTTTGGTATTAAGTCTAGTCATGTCCAACTCTGGGGGGTGGTGCTCATCTCTATTTCTGGCATTGTCCGTAGACACCTCCAAGGTCATGTGGCCAGCATGACTGCATGGAGTGCAGTTACCTTCCTGCCAAAGCAATACCTATTCATCTACTCACATACTCAAGAACAGAGAAGCATCCCGAGCTCTGAAGATCACCTGGGAAGGAATCCCACTGGAGCATTGCAACACACCCAAATACCTGGGAGTCACTCTGGACCGTACCTACAAGAAGCACTGCCTGAATATCAAGCAAAAAGTGGGTGCTAAAAACAATATCATACGAAAGCTGACTGGCACAACCTGGGGATCACAACCAGACACAGTGAAGACATCTGCCCTTGCGCTATGCTACTCTGCTGCTGAGTACGCATGTCCAGTGTGGAACACATCTCACCACACTAAAACAGTGGATGTGGCTCTTAATGAGACATGCCGCATTATCACGGGGTGTCTGCGCCCTACACCACTGGAGAAATTACACTGCTTAGCCGGTATTGCACCACCTGACATCCGCCGGAAGATAGCAGCCAATAGTGAAAGGACCACGGCAGAGACATCTCCAGCTCATCCCTTGTTTGGGTATCAGCCAGCACGTCAACGACTTAAATCTAGAAAGTTTTCTAAGATCTACAGAGACACTCGCTGGAACACCTCAGCAAGCGAGAGTCCAAAAGTGGCAGGTTCAAACCCAGAACCTCAACCAATGGCTGATACCAAATGAGAGACTCCCTCTGGGCACACAGAAGACTGGGCGACTTGGAAGGTGCTGAACAGACTGCGCTCTGGCACCACGAGATGCAGAGCCAACCTTCAGAAATGGGGCCACAAAGTTGAATCCACGACATGCGAGTGTGGAGAAGAGCAAACCACTGACCACCTGCTGCAAGGCAACCTGAGCCCTGCCACATGCACAATGGAGGACCTTCTTGCAGCAACACCGGAAGCACTCCAAGTGGCCAGATACTGGTCAAAGGACATTTAACCAGCTACCAAACTCACAAGTTGTGTATTTTTCTGTTTGTTTGCTTTGTTCTGTTAGAAATGTAATATAATGGACTGGCTGCTCTGACACGACAAATAAAATACTCACATTTGCATGTGTTCGAACTGCTAGCTTGGCAGAAGCTGGAGCTAACAGTGGGGAGTGGTGCTCATCTCTATTTCTAAACCAAAGAGCCAGCGTTGTCCATAGACACCTCCAAGGTCATGTGGCCAGCATGACTGCATGGAGTGCAGTTAGCTTCCTGCTGAATCGATAACTATTGATCTACTCACATTTCCATGTTTTCGAACTGCTAGCTTGGCAGAAGTTGGGGCTAACAGTGGCGCATGGTGCTCATCTCCATTTCTAAGCCAAAGAGCCGGTGTTGTCCATAGACACCTCCAAGGTCACGTGGCCAGCATGACTGCATGGAGTGCAGTTAGCTTCCTGCCAAAGCGATACCTATTCATCTACTCTCATTTCCATGTTTTTGAACTGCTAGCTTGGCAGAAGTTGGGGCTAACAGTGGGGGTGGGGTGGGGTGCTCATCTCTATTTCTAAACAAATGTGCTAAATTCCCAGCCAAGCATCTATAATGCAAAATAGTTTTGTGGCGCTCCACTAGTGTAGCTCTGGAGGATATTAGTAAAGGTAGGGTAAAGGTTTCCCCCTGACATTAGGTCCAGTCGTGTCCAACTCTGGGGGTTGGTGCTCATCTCCATTTCTAAGCCAAAGAGCCAGTGTTGTCCGTAGACACCTCCAAGGTCATGTGGCCAGCATGACTGCATGGAGTGCAGTTACCTTCCTGTCGAAGCAATATCTTTTCATCTACTCACATTTCCATGTTTTCGAACTGCTAGCTTGGCAGAAGCTGGGGCTAACAGTGGGGGGTGGTGCTCATATCTATTGCTAAACCAAAGAGCCGGTGTTGTCCGTAGACACCTCCAAGGTCATGTGGCTAGCATGACTGCATGGAGTGCAGTTACCTTCCTGCTGAAGCGATACCTATTGATCTACTCACATTTCCATGTTTTCAAACTGCTAGTTTGGCAGAAGCTGGGGATAACAGTGGGAGCTCACCCCACTTCCTGGATTCGAACTGCCGACATTACAGTCAGCAAATTCAGCAGCTCAGCGGTTTAGCCCACTGCACCACTGGGGGCTCCTCACTACACCTAGTTTCCCTGAAAAATCAATTCTCTAAGGCCAGATGGAACAAACATAATTTTTAAAATGCCAGTCTAGCTTCTTTGAAAAGAGATATCTCTTTGGTGATGCTTCAGAGAGGGAAAAATCTCTCCAGAACATATTGAAAAGGGGGCAAGGTTTGTATGGGAGGTTATGATCCTTCAACTAAACCTTAGAGAGCTTTATCACCAGCACTTTCTATTTATATCTAATAATAATCCTCATTTCTGAAAAGGAGGCAGTTTCACGTAGGAAGAACATGTACTGGAGAAACTGGTTCTTCTACTCTGACATTAGCACTTCTGTTCCTTATTGCTACACGTTTGCACATTTTTGGAGACCTAATAAAAACCAAACAATCAAAATTCACATTTTTCTTTCTGGAACTTTAAGGGAAGCTAGCACACTACCACCAAAATTTGGTATCCTGTTGAAGTCAACATAGAAACGCAACGATGGTGAGGACCAACTGCAAAGAAGAGCCGGGCGAGAAGGCTCTGATGGTAAATATGTAGTAATGTTCTGCTGTTCCTCGTATTGTCATTGTTTACCTTACTATTTACAAATCATGCAACCCACATATTCTATAATATCAATAACATCTCAGTTATATGAACAAATACAGAAGAAAATTAGAAAATTGAGTTTTTTGGGCTGTATGGCCATGTCCCAGAAGCATTCTCTCCTGACATTTCGCCTGCATCTATGGCAGGCATTCTTAGAGGCCTGTTGGAAACTAGGAAAACATATATCTTTATATATCTGTGGAATGTCCAGGGTGGGGAAAAAGAACTCTTGTCTCTTGGACAAAGGTGCGAATGTTTCCATTGATTAGCATTTAATGACCTAGCAGTTTCAAGGTGTGGCTTCTTACTGCCTGGGGGAATCCTTTGTTGAGAGGTGATTAGCTGTCCCCGATTGTTTCTAATTTGTTTATTTACTACATTTATATACCACCCCGCTCAGCCCAAGGGCGACTCGGAGCAGTCAACAATAGGCAACAATTCGATGCCGGCGCAGCTACAACAAACCAAAACAATCACAAATACTCCAAAATACCAACAGCAATATAAAACATAAAAATCGTACCCAGCATTTAAAAACATTTTCAAAGCATCTCCATCTCAAATCATTGTCCGGTTGCGTCGTCAGTTGTCCATAATATTATATATCTATGCCATATTTGGGAAGGCCTGTTTGAAAAGCCAGGTTTTCACCATTCTTCGAAAGGACAGGAGGGAGGGGACCGATCTTTTCTCTCTAGGCAGGGCATTCTGCAGTCGAGGAGCCACCGCTGAGAAGGCCCTGTCTCTCGTCCCTGCCAAACGCATCTGTGAGGAAGGCGGGAGCAAAAGCAGGGCCTCCCCAGAAGATCTTAGTGTTCTGGATGGTTCTTGTCTGGAGTTCCCCTGTTTTTGAGTGTTGTTCTTTAATTACTGTTATGATTTTAGAGTTTTTTTTAATACTGGTAGCCAGATTTTGTTCCTTTTCTATATATATAATCTTTACTTAAAATTTTCCATAAAAACACAAAATAGTATACATAAAATCTTTGGATAGCCAAAGAAAAGAAAGAAAGAAAAAACAGGGAAGGAAACGAAAAGAAAGAAGAAAGAAAGAAAAAGAAAAATTAGGAAAGAAAGAGAAATGTACAAGCTTGTTGACTTCCTGGATATCTTCTATGTGGCTTCTTACTTTTCCTTCTTCCTTCTTCTATCGCCCCTTATTATATCAAAATAGTTCTATTTTTATGTTTCAGATATTCTGTCACATTTGTCCAGTCAGTTTCTTTTCTCGGGCTTCCCTTATTTTCAATATTAAGTATGTCAGATAGCATTCATTTTCATAGTTTCTTCCTTTCTGTTGAAATTGTCCACATATCTTGTGGATTTCAATGGCTTCTCTGTGTAGTCTGACATGGTAGTTGTGAGAGTAGTCCAGCATTTCTGTGTTTTCAAATAATATGCTGGACATCCCATAGATATATAAACATCATTTTCCTAGTTTCCAACAGACTTCACAACTTTTGAGGATGTCTGCCATAGATGCAGCTGAAACGTCAGGAGAGAATGCTTCTGGAACATGAACATACAGCCGAGAAAACTTGCAACAACCCAGTGATTCTGGCCATGAAAGCCTTCGATGTTACATTGAGAAAATTGAGATTGTCATACCCAGTTGTTAAATCAACAGTCTTGCCTTGTTTGAATGGTTTCAAAGTGAGTCATCCAGTTCCAGGGAAGGCATCCCATTTACAAAAGGATCTGACTTGGTTGCCCAAAGAGAATCACTAATTAGGTTCTTGTGGGTTTTTTCGGGCTATAGGGCCATGTTCTAGAGCAGTGTTTCTCAACCTGGGGGTCATGACCCCTGGGGGGGGTCATGAGGGGGTGTCAGAGGGGTCGCCAAAGACCATCAGAAAACATATTCTGTTGGCCATGGGGGTTCTGTTTGGGAAGTTTGCCCGAATTGTATTATTGTTGGACTTCAGAATGCTCTTTTTTGCAGGTGAACTATATATTCCAGCAACTACAACTCCCAAATGTCAAGATCTATTTTCCCCAAACTCTACCAGTGTTCACATTTGGACATATTGAGTATTTGTGCCAAGTTTGGTCCAGATACATCATTGTTTGAGTTCACAGTGCTCTCTGGATGAAGGTGAACTACAGCTCCCAAACTCAAGGTCAATGCCCACCAAACCCTTCCAGTATTTTCTGTTGGTCATGAGAGTTATGTGTGCCACGTCCAGTTCAATTGCATCATTGGTGGAGTTCAGAATGCTCTTTGAATTTAAATGAACCATAAATCTCAGCAACTACAACTACCAAATGACAAAATCAATCCCCCAACCCCATCAGTATTCAAATTTGGGTGTCTTGGGTATTTGTGCCAAATTTGGTCCAGTGAATGAAAATACATCCTGCATATCAGATATTTACATTATGATTCATAACATTAGCAAAGTTATAGTTATGAAGTCACAACAAAAATAATGTGGTTTGGGGTCACCACAACATAAGGAACTGCATTAAGGGGTCGCAGCCTAAGGAAGGTTGAGAACCACTGTTCTAGAGGCATTTCTCCTAACGTTTCGCCTGCATCTAGATGCAGGCAAAACGTTAGGAGAAATGCCTCTAGAACATGGCCCTATAGCCCGAAAAAACCCACAAGAACCTAGTGATTCCAGCCATGAAAGCCTTCGACAATACAGAATCACTAATTGTCACTTATGTGTCTAATAAGCCTATCTTCAGGTAGAAGAACGGATCTTACCTTCAACGTTTTGGGGATGTTCCAGCCAGGGTATAAGGACTAGCAAGAGGAAAAGGAGCAACACAAAGTCACTCTTCATTGTGTCCTTGAATGCAAGTGCTGAGTTAAGAATTAAGCAACTGTGTTCTACAATGGAATTAAGAGGGGGCTGAACTCTCCTTCAGGCAGCAGCCCAAGCCCTGGCTCGAGAGGCTCCTCTGTGTATCCGGAAGAGGCTCCATGTTCTTGAATGTGGAACAGTGAGTACATTTTGGAGGCCAGCTTTCAGTCTTTTCCACTTTGGGCAAAATCAGAAAGACCCGAGGCTATAAGTTTTGCCTGGTGAATACTTCCAGGTCTCTAAAGATTTGACATAAATCTTCACAAGCCGGAGACTATATCCATCTTCTATTTATATATATAAAAATGCTCTGTGCATAATGAGTTCCTTAAAAACAAAAGAACCAATGAACGAAATCACACCAAATTTGGCAACAAAGTCTCACAACACAAGGAGTGACCATCACTCAAAAAATTATGATTTTGTCATTTGGGAGTTGTAGTTGCTGGGATTTATAGTTCACCTACAATCAAAGAGCATTCTGAACTCCATCAACGATGGAATTGAACCAAACTTGGCACACAGAACTCCCATGACCAACAGAAAATACTGGCAGGGTTTGGTGGGCATTGACCTTGAGTTTGGGAGTTGTAGTTCACCTACATCCAGAGAGCACTGTGGACTCAAACAATGATGGATCTGGACCAAACTTGGCACAAGCACTCAATACGCCCAAATAGGAACACAGATGGAGTTTGGGGGAAATAGACCTTGACATTTGGGAGTTGTAGTCACTGGGATTCACAGTTCACCTACAATCAAAGAGCATTCTGAACCCCAAACGACAGAATCGGGGCAAACTTCCCACACAGAACCCCCATGACCAACAGAAAATACTTAAGGCCATCCAATCCAACTCCCTTCATCAGGGCAAGAAAACGTAATCAAAGTCCTCCTGACAAAGAGCCATCCAGCCATAGATAGATAGATAGATAGATAGATAGATAGATAGATAGATATGATTCACACACACACAAGATATAGTATCATAGATTTGAAAGGGACCCTTAAAGAAGGACAATGATATGTTGCATGTTCCAGGGTGGGCAAACCAGACACTCTCCACATCAACACTGACAAAGAAACAGCAAGAAATACTGTTTACCCACAAGCAGAAAGACATTACATAGATTAGAAACCATCACCTTCTCATTACTTTATTTTCCAGATCAACAGACTGGGCCACAGCAACGTGTGGCAGGGGACAGCTAGTAATCTAAATAAAAATGTAATGTTCATTTGTGGTATTCACAGAACTCAAAAACCACTGGGGGAATTGACACCAAATTTGGACACAAGACACCTAACAACCCAATGTATGTCCTTCACTCAAAAAAATTGATTTTGTCATTTGAGAGTTGTAGTTTCTGGGATTTATAGTTCACCTACAATCAAAGAACATTCTGAACCCCACCAATGATGGAATTGAACCAAACTTGGCACACAGTTCTCCCATGCACTAGGATTGTGGCTCAGCTGGCTGAGTGTCAGCTGCATTAAGATCACTCTGACCAAAAGCTCATGAGTTCAAAACCAGCCCGGGTTGGAGTGGGTTTCCAACCAATTGTGTAGCCTGTTGTCGACCTTTGCAACCCGAAAGACAGTTGCATCTGTCAAGTAGGAAAAATTAGGTACCACCTTAAAGTGTGGGGAGGCTAAATTAACTGATTTATGAGGCCATAAAGAAGACTCCAGCAAAAGCATTCCAGCGGGGAAGCATGTGGAGAATGCGGAAGTGCTTCATCAGCGTCGCAGATGGACGATGAAAGCGACTCAGTTAACCCGGGGCCCTTCCACACATCCATATAACACTTTGGCCTCGAGGAGACTGAAAAGGGGCCTATATTAGGTTGACACTTTGCTACTTCAGTTGTGTATTGATAGCTTAGAAATCAGCTCTTCCTCTTTTCTTTCTTTCCCATTTCTCCACAATGGGCCACAGCAATGCATGGCCGGGTACAGCTAGTTGTTTCATAAATGTAATGTTGGTGAACAGGAAAAGAAATTTAAAGATGAGCTTAAAGCCAACCTTAAAAACTGTAGCATAGACACTGAGAACTGGGAAGCCCTGGCCTTTGAGTGTTCTAACTGGAGGTCAGCTGAAACCATCAGTGCTGCATAATTTGAAGAGGCACGAATGGAGGGTGAAAGGGGAAAATGTGCCAAGAGGGTGCATCAAGCCAACCTCGACCGGGACCGCCTTCCACCTGGAAACCAATGCCCTCACTGCAGGAGAACGTGCAGATCAAGAATAAGGCTCCACAGTCACCTATGGACCCACCGCCAGTACACCATCTTGGAGAAATGTGCCAAGACGAAAGCGCATCAAGCCAACCCTGACTGGGACCGCCTTCCACCTGGAAACCAATGCCCTCACTGCAGGAGAACATGCAGATCAAGAATAAGGCTCCACAGTCACCTATGCACCCACCGCCAGTACACCGATCTTGGAGAAATGTGCCAAGAGGAAAGTGCATCAAGCCAACCCTGACTGGGACCGACTTCCACCTGGAAACCAATTTCCTCAATGCAGGACAAAATGTGGGTCAAGAATAGGACTCCACAGCCACCGATTGACTCACCACCAAGACACTGAACTTGGAGGACCATAATCCTCGGGCTATGAGGGATCACCTAAGTAAGGTCAAAAGTGCATTGCCAAAGGAAGATGAGATGGCTGAGTGGTTAAGGTGATGGACTGCTAATCCATTGTGCTCTGCACACGTGGGTTCAAATCCCATCCTCGTCGGGTCTATATCTCTTTGATTCCATCTGAACATCAGGAAGAACTTCCTGACTGTGAGAGCTGTTCAGCAGTGGAACTCTCTGCCCCAGAGTGTGGTGGAGGTTTCTTCTTTGGAAGCTTTTAAACAGAGGCTGGATGACCATCTGTCGGGGGTGCTTTGAATGCAATTTTCCTGCTTCTTGGCAGGGGTTGGACTGGATGGCCCACGAGGTCTCTTCCAACTCTAGGATTCTGTGATTCTGTGAAGGGCTATAGAAACTCTTTCTCACAGATGGATGCAAAAACAATGGGGGGGGGGGGGAATCCTTGCATTTTATACAAATGTCTCTCAACCATATTTTAAAGGCAGTCAGTGCTATAGTTCAATCTGCTGGAGAATGGAGCCTAAGCAGCTGGTAGAAAGAGCCATTGTGTCCTTTGTTCTTGCTCTTCCAGATCTTATCCTCACACTCTCCTCCTCACTTTCCTTCTATCTGATGGGCTGCTGAAGGAGGGAGAAAATGTTCTTCCCAGGGGAGTTTGGAGCCAAAGTATAGGGAAGTTACTTTTAGGGCAACAAGTTCCAGAATCCCCTAGTGAATACAGCCACTGCTTGTGCTAATTTGGGGATTCTGACAATTGTAGTCCAATATATATATATTTTCTAAGGCTTCGATCAATGGTTAAGTTTAAGAGGGGAGCAAAGAGATTTATTTTTCATGGAGATCCCATCTCAGTAGCTAGGAACTGTCCAGAGTCCTGAATTCCATAAAGGCAAACAGCTGCATACTAGGCATGTGCAATCCTTGCTTCTAAATGATTATAAACCACCATGTCAGACTACACAGAGAAGCCATTGAAATCCACAAGCATGTGGACAATTTCAACAGAAAGGAAGAAACCATGAAAATGAACAAAATCTGGCTACCAGTATTAAAAAACTCAAAAATTACAACAGCAAAACAACAGAGGGGAAACAATCAGGCACATCAAATCACTCTCAAAAAAAGATTCCTCCAGGCACTTCCAAGCCATTAAATGCTAATCAAGGTGGTCAGCTGAAACATTCACACCTAGCTCCAGCAAACAAAAGTCCTTTGTCTCACCCTGGTCATTCCACAGATATATAAACCCATTTTTCCTACTTCCCACAGACCTCACTACCTCTGAGGATGCTTCCGGCCCAGTGTATCTGTCCAAACGGATCTCCCTCTATGTCCCACTCCGGAGTCTAAGATCTTCTGGGGAGGCCCTGCTCTCGACCCCGCCTCTATCACAAGTGAGATTGGCGGGGACGAGGAGAAGGCCTTCTCGGTGGTGGCCCCCCACCTGTGGAATTCACTCCCTGGGGAAATTAGATCTGCAACAATGCTCCTTTCCATTAGGAAAAAACTAAAAACGTGGATCTGGGACCAGGCATTCGGACAAGCGGGCAGATAAAGAAAGAACTTTTGACGATGACTAGGAATGATTAATGGATTAGACCTATGGAACCCTGGAAAACGAAACGCTGAGCACGAGAATAGTATATATGATGTTTTATATGATGTTTTTATATGATGTGTTATGTACTGGTTCTTTGATTGTTTTAACTGTGGTAATTGTTTTAATTATGGTTTTGTATATTGTGTGTAATGTTGTATAGGCATCAAATCGTGCCTTTTCTGTAAGCCGCCCTGAGTCCTCCTTCGGGGGTTGAGAAGGGCGGGGTAAAAGTACCCGAAATAAATAAATAAATAAATAAATGCAGGCAAAACGTCAGGAGAAAAATTGCCTCCAGAACATGGCCATATAGCCCGGAAAAACCTACAACAACCCAGATTATAAAGCACTTAAAAAACTAAAATTCTGGTGATGAAAACTAGGGGGCGCTAATGCTTTGCTTCTACACTGTTGCTAAAGTTCTGGTGGTGAAAATTTCAGAACTCAAACATAACTTTCAAAATTACATTATTATTTCATTATTCATGATTTTTATGACAGAACCAATTAGGAACTGCCATTTATAATGAAATTTTGAAAGTTTTGTTAGAGTTCTGAAATGTTCACCACCAGAATTTTAGCAACACTGTCGAAGCAAAGCACCAGCGCCTCCTAGTTTTCACCACCAGAACTTTAGTTTTGTAAGTACTTTAGAACCATTTAGAACCATGGATTGCACATGCCTACTGCATACACCATGTCATCTTGCTGTCAAAAGGGATCCTCAGTGTTATTAAATCCACAGAGCAATTTCCCCATGACCATGTAGCCAAAGCATACCT